CTGCAAATGACGTGTCATGCCATTCATATCTTCGGGATGTGACAGTATCGGTATCAGGCATTGTTCTTTTGCTTTTCAAACATTTTCAAACTTGTCACTTTATGACAACTCTGTGAGCTATAACAGCTTTTTGCTTGTAATAGAAAATGTATGTGCTTATTTACTCCTGAATTAAAAATGCACAAATTTTACAACTTGTTACTTTTCCATTTTGGCAGTTCTGTGTTCTGTGGCAACTCTTTGCTTATAATAGAAAATACGTTGCAACGTGAGCTCATTTACTCTTGATTTACAAATATACTGGAGTCTTAGACGGTATGGATAAACTGAAGCGCAATCTTAAAGGCTAAGATGCACTTGCAAATGAAATAATCCTTACGCAAGCATGAAATAATCGTAAAACGTGCCGAACTATGCGAAATATCGTCAAAATTACAGATAAATATTTATGCAAAAAATTTGAAGTAATATCTCTTCAAGAAAACGGAATACTAGTTTTATCTGTAGGGTTTGATTTTGGGATCATATCAAGGTACAAGTGTCTTTTTAAATGTAGCAGTGAAGTTTAAAAAATATGTCTTTCTTAGAGGAAGAAATCATGGCATTTTAAAAAGTATTACCTTTTAAATGTCATGATTCGTAAGCGTGAAATTAAACAAGTAGTTCCCAATTTGATCTACTTTGCACTTAAAAAAGCAAGACCCAGTAATATGAATTTTTAAAGACGCTTCAAAATATCTTCCATTTTCTAAATATAATCGCTAACCACTTTTTGTTTTATATAATAAAAAATGTTTTGAGACAGTCGCACTATGTATTCTCAGAAAGATAACAGTCATAAAAAGAATCTCTCCCTAACCCCCAAAAAAGAAAAATATATATATTAATGAAAATAGAAAATATCAAGGAAAGGATACATAGGTAGGTAGTAGAAGTGAGTGAGGCACCAAATACTTCATAATGCATCGCACAGGTGATATCCCAGCACACTAACCCTTCTTTTAATATGGTTATAGGGGAGTCTACTTGTTAGGTGGACCGGACTTCGCTTCTTTTCTAACCCGCTTTTTATCAAAAGAGTTGTGAAATTTTTATATTTTATTTGCTACTTAAAGTAGTCCTTTGTTTTACAAATTGGAATGACATGAAAATAATCTAAGAAATTTCATGGTATACAAATGAATTGATAAAGATATGAGTGAGAAATGTCTAAATGATATTTTTTTTTCAATTTATTTATTAAATGTTTTTATAACTCAATTCATTTTAACGAAAAGATATCGTAAACAACTTCCTTTCATTTATTTATACACCCTGAAGTAAAATTCTTAGTTTAAAGATTCTTTCTGTTGTAAAATTTCGAGATTACGTTTTTACATGTCTTCATGCTTTACGCTTCCTCAGAAATTTCGTAAATAATGAAGGTTACTCCTTAACGAAGCACATAAAACAATTTTTTGCACAGACTGAAGCTTTTGCTTTGTCGAGAATACCGCAAAGCTTTATTAATCAGTCAATATTTTAAGTTACATTGTATTTTTAGTTCTTATTTTTCTGAAATCTTGCACTCACTTCAGAAATATGCAAAAGAAAGGAATACGTGATTCATAAGTATAATACTTTAAAAAGATATTTTCAAGATTATTTTTAATTACAGATAAGCCATTTGCAATGTCCTGAAATAAGTAGGAAACTTTAGAAAAATAATTTCAACAATGTGGTGAGAGGGATTCATGAAAACAAAAATTTAACTTTTTCGTAACTTCGCTCGGTAAAAATGCCAGTTTGTGAAATAATCATTATGCGTTAATAAATTCAAAATAAGAAGGTTTATAATAAGTGCACGTTTGATAAGGGATATTTAAGAACATATGCATTGGCTTTAGTCTATTTCTCAGCCTATCAGTTACTTAAATTCAAGACTTCTACATGAAACTTAGGGTAAACGAAAAATAAAAACTATTGCTTTGGGTATTAAAGATTTCTTTTTTCCTATAATTGTATTGTTAAATGCATAGCTGATTCAAAGCATTCGTTAAACATATTTCCGCGATTGGGTATTCTTATGAGTTTAAGAAACGCTGAGATTTTAAGGAACTGTTCTCAGTATTATATTTTTAGAAATACATAGGTATTTTTGCAAATAGAGTTTTTTGCTCTCAAATTTGTGTAAATGAGTTTATTAAGAACAATTTATATAAATTCCAGTTATAATTAATTCAAATTTTTGTTTAATTTGTATTTTATTAGTTATAGATAAATATTTTACTATTATTTAATTACTTGTGATTTCATTTAGAGAAATACGTATGACAAGTATAAACAAAATCTCACATTAATAATTTGAACTAAGGTTAAAGAAGAGAAGAATTAAACACAGTTAAAGACATAAAGGAGTTAGAAAGGACGAAGGAAGAAGATTAATGAAGTAAACATAAAAAACAAAGAGAACGAAGTAAATATAGTTAAATAACCAGACTACATATTGGAATCTTAACCTCCATCCTTAAAATGGTAGGAAATTCCTCCTTTGTTAAGTCACTTCATCAGCGATACATCGCACCAAATGTAACTCAATGAAATAACACTCTGTCACGTGACGGTTAAATTAGTCAGTTAATAGGAAATTCACTCAATTGTTGTTGAGCAGAAATTATTTCGATAGTGTTTGATGGCTTCAGATACTTATTTGTTAGAAGTACTTGTACCAAGCGAAGAGGTGCTAAGTTTGAATCTGAATCCTAACTGCAAACTATATAGTTAAATCATAACACAGGATTCCTGTTCATCAATGTTATTGAGTGGTATGTATTTGAATGACATATCATTATTTTTGAATTCTTAACTTCTATTTATAGTTAGCAGACAATGTCATCTTATAATATTTGAAAAGTAGATTACTAAAGACATGTTTTTTGAGGAAACATTTTTATTCATTTGCACTTGTTTCATCTTCTCATAGTAAGAAAAAATATTTGGAATATGTGCTTCTTTCTCAGCTAACATACGGAAAAAGTCTGAATATAAAATTTTTGTCTCTTGAAATTACATTAACACTTTTTCTACTTCAAATTCTTTCCAAACTAAATTTCAAACGCACTAAAATTTTAAACTAAGTAAGTGCACACATTTATGGTTTTGACAAATTTAACATTCTGATAAAAATTTCTTGCTCTTAATTCCTTAATTATATTTTACACTTGCAGAAGTTTGCTATGAAGTACGATTCTTTTCACTACTGACTTCCGTATTGATTTCTATGATTTTTTGCAATATGTACTTAAAATTCTTACTGTTTAAAGTTTTATTTTCTGTAATTTTATTGATATTGCAGCACATTCTGTCTTTTAAATCTGCAATACCGACAAGTTCCACATAACACAATTAAGTTCATTTTACAAATTTCTATAATGCGATAGTGAAATCTTTAAAATTTCGTGTTGGGCAAACAAAATGAACTATGATCAGTTTCAAATGAGGCCATCTTGAGCAACAATAATTTATTCTATGCAAAACGCACGGAATTGAACAGACTTTGGATGGCAGGTTAAAGACCAAGGACTCTTTGTATCATGTACTGTGACTGCTAATGTTGTTTGGTATATCAGTATGTGAAACACCACAGACTGAATATGCTCATTCCGGGAAAGATCTGATGGATGCGTCAGCCAAGAAATTCTTAATTCTTGCTGTGCGTTAAGGAAGTGTTGGACATTGTGTATGATGTGTATGTGCTCATTGAATTGCTGGCAGAAGGCGTTAGAAAACATTTGAAGGTATAACACAACCGTAGAGACTAACAAGACTGTAATACAAAACTGACTGGTCGAGTGCCAAAGACGCGAACGAGACATGATTATTATAGAATATCACCCTATATCATAGATTGGCTAAAGACTGTCTGCCTGCTATAAGGGATGCTTTCGTAAAAGACATTATAATGAAACTGGTCAGTTTTCACGTTACACTTGAAAAAAAAAAAAAAAACCGGAAATATCCAATGTATCCAATCATTCATCGAGATATGAACTCGAATCGAAATACCAGTGTTTCATGGTTTAATCGCTCGGTCTCTAGTGGACACTCCATGACATAATTCTTGTTGCTGGGTATGTGTGACAATGGAATAATCCCACAAAGAAGTTTTACGAAGTGACAGCATACACGCATCGTGATGAGCCAGTATGAAGTGCCTACATCCAGGAGAAATCATCTGAGAAGCCAGTGTCAGGCCGTTTTTGAGTTCATGGGCAATATTCAGTGTCAATCGTAGCCTGTGACACCATTGCTGTGTTATTAAACGCAGTCAGAGCAATGGTCGCTTTGAGAACAATCTGTCGCACTCAAGATATTGTCTGAGCGTACGTACAAAACTAAATTCGGATACTTGCTGTTATAGGTTCATTTTTCTTAGTCGAGGCATACGAGGCATATCCTACACTTTTAATTAAACGTAAGAGGAAGAATCACTGATCACACATGGAAAACCCATGCGTTATTCTTCCCTCTTGTACTCATTGCACATGGTGTAGGTCCATTATTTGCATATGAATTGCCTTCTTAATTATTTCCATAACCTATCTGACTCTTTATAGCATAAATGTCTGACCTATTGTTGCTTTGTTCACGGCGCTGCAAATGATGGCCGGTTCTGTGTTATAAGTTTGCAGAAGACTTCAACATAGTTTTGCCAGCAGAATTTTTGTATTGGATTTTATGTGACTGATAAAGTAATGAGGAAGAATTTATCAAATGTATGTCAGTTGTAAAATATTTCCTTAGAACTTGTAGCATACATTTCTGGTTATAGCAAAATAAGTTAATCTCGATTTCCATTTGCTTTTTTAAAATGTTATGCTGACTTTTAATGCTTAAGTATTATATAGTATGTCTGCAAGCTGTCCATCATAGACATGCTTTATACGTATATTTTATACTGAGCATACTCAATGATAATTAAATAGATATTATTATAATTGAACATTGTTTATTCCTTGTAGGGAGTTGGATGCTTTTGTTTACGATGCAACTGTTCTTGAATACCTAGTAGGCCAGGACAACGAATGTCGTTTGCTAACCGTCGGATCGTGGTACGCTATGACCGGATATGGATTTGCTCTGCCAAAGAAATCCAAGTACCTCAATATGTTCAACAGGAAAATGATCGAATACAGAGAAAACGGTAAGTGCATTTTTTATGTTATTATGTCGACAACTATTAAATTAAAGCTCTAACAGCAACTTCCGTTTTAGTTAATTAATAATGTTAGGTGTTAGTTTTTTGGAGGTACTGCTGTTTTAGAGGTACCCCCGAAGAGTAGTTGATTGATACGAAATTTTAAAGTGCTTGTTAAACCTGAAGAAGAAATTTATCATGCCAAACAGCCAAAATTAAAGTATTGAAACAGGTACTGTGAAACATTTTTAACTTTTAAAAGGATGTTTGTGTAATTTCAGACTTATTACAAAATGACGAAAGACTCGAAATGTTTTTTTAATATAAAAATTTAAATACAAATGGAGTCTCCAGAGTGCTGTGAAAGCAGATTTAAGATATCACCCCATACAATGCTGCCTGGTTTTCTTTTCATTTGTACCAAGTAACTTTAAATGCTTTCGATGGTATTTCAAAATGCAGTTTGACTGTTAGTAGGTAATCAGAATGTTAGCTCTCTTATTTTTCTTATTGTCCCAAAACGCAGCAAAATGTATCCTAAATAACAAAATGTTTAGATACATAATAAAAAAGGCATCAAAATCTGTAGCATAAATAGTGAAAATGCAACTGCAGCTTTGGTGCTCAAGTAACATCAATATGTTTATTCTCATATGATACGTGATTTCTAAAACGTACGTGATTCCGAAATAATGCTACAGAAAACAGTTTTTATAGGAGAGTCAGATACTTGAAGACGTTAACATAAATTGAACTGAAATTTAATTTTAAAGTGAATTGTATTTGCTTAGAATAATTAGGCCCTATGAAACCAATTCTTAAGAAGATAAGAAAGGAGTCGAAAGGATTCAAAATGTGTTACAATTAATTAAAGTTCCATAAAAAAAATTCTTTTAGTATATAAAAGGGATTGTATTTATGTTTTCCTTTCCAAAAAAGGAAGCAAAATTTCCTTTTTATATAAAAAAGAAAAACATATGATAATTCATGATTGATAACTTTAATTTTTATAATTTGATTGATCATTTCAAATTCCATCTCTCATCTGTTGCTAAGCTATTTTAAATGGAATTTTCTTCTAATTTCAAAAGATAAATTTTCTTAGTTATACATTTATTTATCTTTATAGTACTGAAGAATTCAAATATCTTGACTAAACTTGGACCACCAACTAAAGTTATAATTAGCTTTCAGTGATTGAGAGAAATTTTTTTTATTTTCGTTTTATTGCATTTTATTTCAATAGAAGCTTATAGAGTAAAAATATTACTACCTTACAGCAAAATACAATGTTCTTGGTTTCGACAAAATGAAAAAAAAGAAGATATTAGACATCTAAATTTCCTTCTTTTGCCTACTTTAAACGAAAATAAAATAATAAGTGTAAATTTTATTTAAATAAGTCATAAAACTGAAATATAATCGTGTTCCACTTTTTACTGCACTAAGGGAGTAAAGGTTGCTTGGGTAAAATCAAATTTGTAACTTACTTCTATTTAAATTAATTAAATTAATATATTTTCATTTGACTGAAGTAAAATAATAAAAAATAAAATGATTCATATTATTAATTTTTGTGAGACTAATTTTCAATAAAATTTTTAACTAACAAAGTAAAAGGATCATCAATTTAGTTGCTTAGATATAATATTTTAGCTAAAAATACTGTACTGCTTATGTAATATACTTATACATATTCTATATTCTGCTGATAATGAAATATATTAATTAATTCTATATTATATTAAATATATTAATTAATTCTGAATTAACCTTTTATATTATTTGATTTAGTGCTCAAATAAATTTCTCAATTTAATAAAAAAAATCAAAATGATATGCTTCTGTTTTGTTAGGTAAGTGAGTCTCTTAATCATTTAATTTGAAGCAGGTCAACTGTGTTGCATTCTTCCTGCCGTTCTCCTCAGCCTACAATTATATCTACAGCCTTAGTTATTGTTGTACGTAGAACTAAGTTCTTCATTTTTAAATGTTACCGCTATTGTGGGGAATAATATTTTCGTCAAACTATTAAACGTTTTTCCACCTGTCATGAATTAGTAATTTGTATCCATATTCATCATGGCATAGAGAATTAAACTAACACAAGTAACAAGAAAGCAGGTTTCAGGACCAATTAATGCATTACTTACTTTAATCTAAATTCTTACATTGCTGTTGATAATGTGTAATGTATTGTGCTTTTGTTCATATACTTAAATTCAAAATTAAAAGGGCTAAGTAGCAACTTTAATTTTACTTTGCCTAAGAGAAAAATACCGATTGGATTATTGGAGTTTCAGATAACTGGATTTCTAATGTATACATACTTTTCTTCATTAACGCAGCAACAAAGTAATTTCTGACAGGTATCGGATTGACTAACGGACATCTCAAAGATGGAGTTTTTCATAAAAAAAAGTGACGTTTTTTAGATTAACCTGATATATCATTGAAACAATTACGAGGAGATGTGGTTCTCTACTAGGATAAACACTGAACTAACAATTGTTCAAGCACTGAATCATCAACCAAACAAGAAGTCGATACTTGGAACGTTTCTAGCAACCTAACAAGAAGTCGATACTTGGAACGTTCCTTCCGATCTCCTAAATCCATCTAGTATTAGAGTCTCTTTTTAATATTCATGATATACATTCTGGTTCGCTATAAGCCACAGCAATTAAAGCGTATTCGTTGAGAGTGATTAGCAATTAATGGATTTAAATACACTAAAATCAGTCAGTGGATATCAAGTGACGACCGCATCTATGCTTAGAATCCATTGTGTTTCTTTTTATGCTGCCTTGTATGTTCACCCACGATTTTTGCAATTTTTACTGTTTTTCTATTCCTGGAAATTAAATTGCTTTCAATTTTGCTTTGAAAGCAATGAAATATAATAACACCCGAAAAATGGGAATAAGGTAATTTGTAGTATATTTAAAGCTATAGAAAAGGATCAGAGAAATATCTGTTTCTCCAGTTCATCAAACAACTGACGTGAGAATAAAAGTTTTAGTAAAATTTATTTGCGTAATTTTAAAATTTCTTTCAAGTATTTTTGCAGTAATGTTTCGGTTTTACAACATTAAGGATATTATCATTATATAGACAAATACGTAATATAAGGCATTAGAAACAACTTTTGTAAAATTCGCTCATAGTCTAAGTGTTCATAAAAATGATAACTTGAATTACGACATGAAATCTATACCTATAAAGAAAATAAAAAATAAAATTTATTAAGACATACTTAATTTTTAAATCGAAGAATTAGGCACACTATTAGTTATTCACAATCAAATCTACCTAAAGCGTCATTCCTTTCCCTAACTTCTTTTCTGCCAACACCGCGCTGCTTTACCTTGCTTGAATGCCTACGTCATTTCTTTTTAAAAAACCAATGTACATAGAAATTACCGTTTTTCGTTACGATTGGATATATGTCTACTAAGATGGTTTTATATGCGTGAAAATAAAGATTGCGACTTCTACAAAATTCATTTGTGTCAGCGTCATCTTTTCGTCTTTCCATTCAACTATTTAAGACTGCAAGCTGTTAAAGTATCCGATTCCTCCTATGAATTAAAATATTACATATATATGTGTGCGTATGTGTATACCCACCGCCTTACCCGGCTTAAACGTTCTTACCCAGTCGACTTTCATTTTCGCAGTTGTTGGTTGTAATCATATACTTTGAGTTACAGAAGTGTTTTAAATGACGAAATTATTTATATTTTGGCAAGGTCAAATTAAAACAATATTTCAATAAATAGCGAAATCTAACTTTAAATGCCGTCTCCCAGTTCCTATAATACACGTGGCAAAGTTTTATAATCCTTACGAAAAAAATAAAGTTATAAGAAGTTTGACTGGTCTAACAAAAATTTAGGCTATTTAATTTCAAAATTTGAAGGTCTTTGACGTCATTTCTAACTTCCCTTCAGAGGTCGGTTAATTAAGCTAGAATAATTGTAGGAAATAAGTTTAGATGAAGTGCAGCAAAAAATAGACAGAGTGTATAAGGATGGAAGATGTGTTTAATAGACCGTTAGAAGGAAGTCATCTGGTGTCCGTATCAGATTCCTTATTTATATTCTCAGAAATTATTCTTTCGGGGGATGATTGCACTGAGAGATTTCATATGCATAATGTGTTGAGTTTTTAATATTTATATTGGTTTCAGCAACAGCATGTCTTTTGGATATAAACTAAAATACATTTAAGAAATAACTTAAAATCTTGCAATACATATCATTTTAACAACTTATTATGATACTTAGAGTTTTCTATGACATGTCTTGCGCTCTCCAATTACTTTAAATTTAATATAATTAGTTGGCAATTAACACTGATGTCATGCAAATTAACTGCTTCTGCAGGCAGTATATCATTAAAGAACGCTAAAAATGAAAATGCTTAAAGTGACACTCCGAATTTAACGTTAGCTAAGATAACAAACAATGATTAAATTTGACACTTAAATTTGGCGCATTTTATCGATAACATAATTGCATTTGCAAATGTATGTATGTACTAAGACGATGACAGAAGTAATTTTAAATAAATTCTATGATATTCAGATTACATGGATTTCTCTAAATGTAATTACAGTTGTGTGGGTGGATGCAATTACCGTTAGTGAATAGGGGTATAAATTTAATATATAGCCACTGGGTATATGTAAAACTTATGAGCATATTTAGTAGAATGACATAAAATGTTTTATTAAATAAAGAACGAAAATAATTCGATTTGTTATCCTATTTGTGATATTTTATTTAAAGATTATTTTCTATTGTTAAAAAATAGAGATTCTGTAAAATCAGACTCATGAGAATTTTTGCCGTTCTGGAAAATCATAAGAGACTTTAATTCTTAATTCAAATGAACTGAATGCCAAATATCTGCAGTTTTCCAGTTTGTTGGAAATATGTTTTCTTGTGATGTACAAGGCAGCACATTTAACTAGCCTCAGGTTTAGTTTCCTGGCAAGGACA